TTAGGGTGGTTGCCAAGATGATCGTTGCTCCACTAATGGCTGTGCTATCTACGTGGGACATAATCTCATCTTTTGGGTCTCAAAAAAACAATCAATTGTTGCTCGATCCTCAATTGAAAGTGAATATAAAGGATTAACAAAGGGCACCTCAAAACTGATATGGCTTCAAGGTTATATTATGAACTTGGCATTCCATGCTCAAGTCTCTTGATTCTCTAGTGTGATAATATCGGAGCCATATACCTTTCCTCTAACCTCGTTTTTTATGCCCGCAGAAAACATATCGTGATTAACTACCACTTTGTACGTGAATGAGTCACTGCTGGCCCACTTCGTGTTCGCTCCATCTCTACTAGAGATCAAATTGATGACATCTTTACCAAGTCATGGCTTATGGCTCAATCTCTCTATCTCAAACAAAAACTCAGTCTCCTCCCTCAAACGACATTGAGTGTTGCAGGAGGTGGGGTGGGAGAGGTGTTAAGAGATGGCTCTTCCCTCCTTAATTTTAGCTCCTGAAGCACATCTCCTCTTCGCAAATTCTCTCATCCTTATCTCTACACTATATACATATGGGCAAAATTCCCTCACAAATACAAGTTAATATAATTCACTTTTTCTAAACCTAATAGTCTCAACCCTTTGTGCATGCCATTGATACTGGTACCCTTGAAATATTGAAAATAATGTAAAAAATTAAATAAATAAATATATATATACATATTACTAAATGGCCAAGTTAATTTTGCATTGGAGATTCACCTGGTGAAAAAAGCCTTCTATTTGACTATATGATAATCTTTTAAAATGAAAAAATAGATGACAGTGAGCTTTTTTTTTTTAAACATCATTCTAATTACTGTGTAAAAAAATTAAAAAATAATAATAATAACAATAATTAATGATATATAAAAAAAAAACTAAGGGGAATGTTTTAATTTTATATTATTTATTTATAAGAAATTATTGATCTTTTATATTGTATAATAATTCATATAATAATTAACTTTCAGTCGTTGTCTTTGACCCAATTTTATGAACATAGTTTATTATGATTCCCTAAGTGTGGGATGTCATAAGTTTGTTATATGTCGTTAGGTGTAAATACCATGGGGTTATGTGTATATGGACACTACATTATTCCAAAGCCAAATGTATGTGTTCTTTGACATATGGTGGTAGCCTTGTGTCCACTAGTGCTAACTAATACATACATGATTATGTTAGACTTTTTGGCGTACCAATGACATTATGTTTGGCACAAATCTTTGAACTAAAAAGTATCTAAACCCATGTTTTGAAAATATTGTGAGAAACAAAATCTTAATTATTTGATAAAATTATAAATTTATATTTTTGATGTACAATTGAATTAATCTATATTTTTATTTTTCAATATAAGAATCAACAAGCATTTAATTTTAATTAACTAAGAATTAAAATGCTATGATTCAAAACTTTTATCTTATATATATATATATTTATCATATTCTATAAAGTTGAAATTTAAATGAAAACTAATCTACTATAAAATTCAAAGGAAATAAAAAAAAAAGACAATAGTTTTTTGAAAAATAATAAAAAATTATAAACTTTAAAAATATGACAGTAGTATAATAAAAAATACAAAAGAATAAGAAAGACAAGCAAAAAAAAAATATATATATATATATAATGGGGCTCCCTTTTGTCAAATTCATCACCATTTCGTCAAAGGTTTTTAGGACAATATAATTGAAAAAAAAAAAAAGGAAAGAGCACAAAAAATAGACAGGAAGTATTACTTCAAATCCATTATCTTTTTCTAAAAGTGTCTTATTATAAGTTCAATGTGAAAATAAATTATAAAATCAAGAGGTTATGAAGAGGGAAAAGGCATTTGAAAAGTCAATAATACTCTCCTTGATGTACATTTTAAAAAAGAAAATTTGTCTAATTAAAACTTCTCTAGAAAACTCAATAAAACAAAAATTTTAATAGAATTCTTTTATACATATACCCAAATTATATAAAGGTTTCTTTTGCAATTTAATGCAATTCTTTTATACATTAGGCACAAAAAACACTATTTAATCAAAATAATTCTAGCTCTATGGATATTTATATGTAACATATATTATTAATATTTTCTTTAAGAACTTATTTTGGTGTATTGTGGTTGAACACCGAGAATATATATTGTACGCCAAAGTATTATAATATTAGAAGTAGTTGACTCTATAACATAAGCAAATTGTAAATGAAAGAATTGGATAACTTGTGGGCCTTTATGCATATAAGTTACAACATTTTAAGTAACATATATGGAGTTTTCTTCTAGTAGGTCATTATTTGACTATTAGTTCCAAGCATTTAGTTTACTAGTTCAACTAAAATATTTATGTATAAACATGAGTTATAGAACATTCAAGAGTTATTTCAAATGTGGTATAATAATCATTAATATGTGTGAGTTCACCAATGTTATGCTGATAAATTTTCTTGCTCGTATAATCCGGTAATGTGCTCTAATCAAATCATTTGAACAAGAAAATTCGTAAATACCAAGTTGCAAATTGATAATAAAGACATATTACCATACTGTTAATGCATATACTAAAACTAAATATATAGATAGGCCACGTTGATGAATTAATAAGGACATATGTATCTTATTATATGATAGAAAAAAAACAAAACAAATAAACGAAAAGCACAAGAGCATAGACAAAAAAAAAAAAAAATTTCTTCAAACATCACAACTTCCTCGTACAAGAGTATAAATCAAATGTAAAAATAAATTACAAAGGAAGAGGTTATAAGGACAAAAGAGACATTAATACATTCATAACTTACAAAATTTAAAAAGTTCATAATATTAGAATTAAATATTACTGAAATTGTAAGATGATGTAAAACTAAAATCAAGAAGCAGAGAGGGAAAGGTAGAAACTTGAAATAATTCCTTTGATAACATAATTATTTTAGAGCTCAAAAGAAAATTGCACATGGCTGCCCGTACCATAACATACAAACTCTTATTTTTAGTTAGCAGAGAATTCTCATATATATATATATATATATATTGGGTTATAAATAGTGCTTTTTAAAAATAATGAGTACAAAAATATGAGAAAAATGTGAGTACAAAAATACTAAATAATAGAAATATAATTTTATATAGTAAACCATAAATTATCTTTATGTATCTTACATACTTTAATGTTAATAAAAATTAAATCAAATTTACTTTCTACCAAAAAATAAAAGATTTTTTTAAAAGCAGGTGCTGTTACAAGCATGGCCTAACTGTTAAAAGGCCCAAGTTACAGGGCTAATTGTTACGTTCTCTTATAAATATACAAAGTAGATTTTTCTGCACATATATATATATATATATATAAAAGGGCAATATAGAACTACTTGACAAGATTAAACGAAGAAAATCAAAAAACCAAAATGCATAGCAAGACAACCGGATAGGACCTGAGAAACATACATCTTGGATTTCCGCCTGGAACCAGAAAGAACATCATCAAAACTTCATTCAAAGAACTGAGGCCAACCTAATTACATGGCTTGGTGATAATCAATCTGGCTTCATTCCATAGCTCCTGCATCCAGCATCCCACACGCTCTGACAATTTAGATCAGCAAATTGTCATCCTCAATCACCAGCACTGGTATTCAGATGTGAGAATGTAGGCCTCTCGTTTGTCCAAATGTACTTGAGACAAGGGGCACGATGAGAATCCCATAGAGCTCGCAAATGAAACCTGTAAGGAGAACCTCAGAAATCAGGCACAAAAATTGGTTGGAACTTCTAATTATCAATTCGATGACATAATTGATAAGAGCTACTACTTCAGTTTGGTTATTTTTTCACTATGCATCCTGGAAAAACCTTTTACTTCTAAATTTGATATTTTATGTTCAATGTAAACTTCTAACTACATTAGTGACTATCCAATAAGATATGCGACATATTCATGGTGCTCCAACTTTAACTTGCTTCATCCTGGCACATTTTGGAGATCTTGATCTGGGAGAAAATACCCTTTAGAAATAGATACCACTTTGTTAGTAATCGTTCTAGGACTTTGGGTGGCAGTGTCTGAACCTTTTTTCTCTTTCATTTCTCTATAGATTCACAGACTCAGATAGCTGCATTTTAAACTTATCTCCAGTCCTCCACGAGGCAAGAAAAGCTCTACTTCCATTATCTTTATCTTTGTACCTTTAATCTTCTTAATTCTTTCTATTTTTCTTTACCCATTCTTCTCACCCTTACCATCTTCCTATACCACTCTTACTGGTTGGTCCTTAGTTTACCCTGAGCATTTTACATCGGTTTCTTACAGTGTATTTCTGAATTCTGTAAAATAAAAGAAATATTCGGAAGAGGAAAAATATCACAAAGTTATAAACCTCATTTGGTATAAGAAATCTATTACTCCAACCATTTATATATTGATAAGACAAATCAGTACCGACGGCTCGTCAGAAAAGTCACCTGCAAGATTTCCAGTCAGCGAGGGTCCAGTAAGCAAGGTTCCACTAAGCAAGATGATAAAAGGAAGGTCTATCAACATTTTCTTATGGAGATTGAAGATGCGTCAGTTGGGTCCCCTTTTCTGCCCCTAGGACCCCTGATCTAAGACAGGCAGGATAGAACTAATTTGTGCCGAGGATGATTTAGGAAAAGGAAATCAAGTGATGAGCAGAAGAATAGAAATAGAAGAAAAAATTAGAGATCGAACTGAAGAAATATAGAACGAAGTAGACTGAATAACATACTTCAATATAATAACAAGAAAATTGAGCACAGAGAAGTAACAAGGAATAAAGCTTTAGCAAAAGAATTCTCAATTACAGTCAATTTTTTTAAATAATCTTAATTATGTCATTTTATTATTCTTTCTATTGATAATTATTAGCCTATTTATAGGCATTGGTTAAAACTAATAAAGAAAACATTGAAATAATAAAAGATGAAATCAAAAGTTTCTATAACTTAAAATCTAACTTAATAACCTAAGTTTCTATTACTTAAAATCTACCTAAATAGGCTAAATAAATTCAACATGCTAAATAATAATAATAATAATAATAATCACAAAAGCCTCTTAATGGAAAATTTATTTCAAATTGGGGCTTTCCATCATTTTACTCAACTTGGTAAAAACTCAAGCTCGAGTTTTGAAGTGAAGAGACATGAAGGCTGGAAAGAGTCAGATATGCGTCCTAAAATCTTCAATAAAATTGAGACTTGTGATAATGTCACTGAAAGAACAGAATTGACCAAATTGGTAAGTTACATAGACTTATTAGCCAACAAGGCAAAATAAAATCCTAATAAATGTTTTGACGCAATCATCACAGATTGGAAGAACTTTGACAGGAGCATGAGAAGAATCTCGTCTCAGTAGGAGGATGGGGCAAAACAAATTTGTCATAAGGAGGCAGGTGCTTGACATGATCAGCAGATGTGGAAGCCAATGTTTCTTTAATTGCCAATAATAGTTAGAGAGGAATTTAATCTTCCTATCTTCTATCACAAAAGAAGTGTTAGTTGTACTATTAAGCTCAGTTTTAAGTTCTTGCAAACCACCCCATATTATATAACTTCTGAGTATAAGTGTTGAAACTGATAGTGGAATTAGAGAGGAAGATATTTTATGTACATTTGTATTTTTTTTAAAGAAAAAATATAATATTTGTATTAGCAAGGTACCAAAGAAGATAGGGTACCACCCCTTCACAAAAAAATTTACAAATTTGTTAGTGAGTCAATGACATCCCCAAAATCCTCAACCTTAATGATATCATGCCCCAAAGACAACCAAAGTAGTTAAACCATCTCTCTTAGTTTACTAGTACTATTCACAATCCCCTCAAACATTCATAAATTTCTTTCCTTCAAAATAACCTAAAAAACAGATAAGGGAATGAGTCTTGCAATTTCAGTTTTCAGCCCTGCCCCACCCCAGGCCCAAATCTCCTCCTCAATCGAACCAGCCTGTACCCAGCAGATTCCTACCAAGCCATACACCAAGCTCCAGAGTTCATAAAATAGCCATTCACCAAAGTACATCCCCTGACCTTCAATTTGTCCAGAGTTAAAATGCTTTCCCTACAGGCCTCTCATGCAAAGAAAGCCATCCTTGGGGGCGCAGAGTTTTCTCAAATTAAGGTACTGGGAAATCTGGAAGAACTACACTTTGTATGAACCATCAGCTTGTAATAATAAGAGCTCACCAAAAACTCACCATTTTTGCACCCCCTCCATAGCACCTGATCCGGATCAATGCAGATTTGAAAATCAGATATGTTCTTCAACAGGTTTACATACTGCACTTCCCAATCGTTCAAATTTCTACAAACATTAACGGACCAGATACATCTGTCATTATCCCTCACATAAGCCTCTTCCACCAACATATTTTTGGATTGTGCAATTGCATAGATTCTGGGAAAATGGACTTTGAGACACCCCCCCTCCAACCACTGATCGTGCCAAAATCTAGTTTCATTACCCCTACTCACTTTCCAATTCAGGTTCTCCACAAAACCAGACCAGCCCATCTCGATATTTCTCAACAGACCTAAGCCGTGCCCTTTTCTATCCACCCTCCCCCAACCCATAAGTGCACAGGTCTGCCACCTGGCCCAAAATCACCCTCTTCCACATCTTACCATCCTCTCTCAAGAATCTTCAAAACCACTTGCCTTGTAAGCTTTATTAATTTCAACCACCGATCGAATGCCCAAACCACCAGCATAGTAGGCTTCTTTTATTTTCGTCCCATTTGACAAGATGAAACTTTTTTCTATCCCCTCTATCGCCCCATAAGAAACGACATTAAATAGTCTCCAATCTTTTAGCAACAGTTACCGGAATGGTCAACGTTTGTATTGTTCTTTAAAACCATATATATACTAGTACCTATAGATAGAAGTACCTAAATAGTAACAAAAACAAAGGTAATTAGTCAATGAATTTACTTCTTAATGTAAAAGGTAAAATAAAGAAAGTAAAATTTATATCTTATGGCAGTATGTAATGAGTTTAATGGTACATAGTCAAAATTCCCATAAACTTCCCCCTTAGGATGGTGCCGAGGTGTCTCACATGCCTATCTTACAAACTAGTCCATGAAATTGTTTATTGCCAACATCTTCAGTGAAGAGATCAGCTAACTGGTCTCCAGAACTCATATACTACATGTTTAAGATACTACTATTTACGTTTCCTCCATTAAATATCTATCAATCTCCACGTGTTTACCCCTATCATGCTAAATGGGATTATGTACTATACTTATTGCTGCTTTGTTACCGTATAGTGTTAGACCTGTTTTATCTAACATCCTTAGTTCACGTAGTAATTTCTGCAACCAAAGTACCTCACACAAACATGGTAATTTAGGATAAAGAGAATTTGAACATTAATTTTTGAGAAAATTTATTAGGAACCAAGATTAGTGATCCCATACCTCATTTATCAAATCAATAACTTAATGTTTGAATAATAATCAAATGAATAATATGTCTAATAACTAAACCGAAATACCCTATTTATAGACACGAAAATACAACCAAATAAAATATGTCATATAGGAATCCCACTAAATAAAAATGCTAGGCACTAAAAGTATAACCAAGATAGAAATCTATGTAGGAATTCTACTAAATAAAAAATAGCTATTAATTAAATGTCATATTAAAACTAGAACTCTAATAGAAAAGGATATTAGATCTCCATATTGCCTTTAATCTAAGACCTTACAAAATATTTATTTTCTTTTATAGGTTTTGCATCATCTTGTGCTATTGATTTTTATTCAGCCTTTGCACTAGATCTGCTCACTGCTCACTGCATTTACTCCTAGAATGTGCAACAATTCAATGTAGATCTCCTATCAGGAGACCCAATAATCTGCACTGGTATACCTTCTATCTTGAGGTGATTATGCATGGAAAAGAGCGAGCATATTCCATTAAACATATTTCAGATATATCAGAATTCAATAAACTAAATTTAGGTGTGGTTCTCAGGGTTCATGCATGTACTAGCTAATTGTATTTAAAACATAAGCCATATCAAGTCTACTTCGAGCTAGGTAGATTAGTCTCCAATAGTCCTTCACACTTCTCAACTTCAATGTGCTTACCACCATAACCTCTCACCCGTGATTGGTTTTAATGGGAGAGTCAGTAGGTTACAATCTAACTTATTAGTTTCTCCCAAAAGATCCAGAAAGCATTTGAGTTGACAGATAAAGAAACCACCTCCTGATTTGGCTATCTTGATACATAGAAAATATCGTACTTTGTCTAGATCTTTGATTTCAAGTTGTCGAGCTAGAGACCGTTTTGACTTTGCCATTTCCTCTGTATCACCCGCTATCATTACTATATTGTATAGACAATGTATATAGTAATCTTACCCTTACGATATTTGATGAATAGGGTGTGATCAGCATTGTTCTGGTGAAACCTGACAAACCATGCTCTCTGCGATTGCTTCAATCCGTAGAGTGCGTTCCTTACTCTATTCAATATTGAATCTTGGGGAATCTCCAATTTCAACTTCTCTAAATCTTCGTACAAAAATATATATTTGACATCAAACTACTACAAGTCTTAGTCACGATTAGTTGCACTCAATAAAAAGATCCTTATGATATTCATCTTTGCAACTGGCAAATATCGCATGATGCTTGACAGTTCAACCTAATTTGGGTGAATCCCTTTGTGACCAACCAAAATTGAGCTTCTTTCCCATATTCCTATTACTAATAAAATAGATATATAGACCTTAAGAGGGACGATATAGGAGTTGTTTTGTAACAAAACTTCTAAGGAACTTTAAAACCAAAAGTTTGCAATGGCATACAATTGACAAGACAAACTACTTTTAAAACTGCATCCCCTAGTAAGGTGTTGGGACATCCATAGAGAACATGGGGGATCTAGCAATTACAAGTAAGTGCCTACTCTTTCTCTTAACTATCCAATCAATACCTTGGAGGCCAAGATACTTATGGAAGATACCACCAAACATTCTGTCATAGTCAAAGCAAAAGATTTCAACTTTTGCATTAAACTGTATACAAATCATTTTATGCAAGGACTTAAAATATGAAAAGAATCGTTTTCCGCATGCAACAGATAAACTAAAATATTCTCATGCAAGAGTTAGTAAAAAAGATAAACCATCTATAGTCAAATAATAACTCAATAAAAGGGAACCATATATAGCCAAATAATGACAGTTTCCATAGAATCCCGCTCATCAGAGAAAATTGTCAGAAAAGAAACATAATTAATCATAGAATAAGAGGTTCTCGTGTGTTTTCCAAACTCACACGTATCATAGGTTAACAACTCTAAATTCTAATTTTTTATCACACTAAGATAAATGATTCTAGAATTGCAAATCATGCGCGATCTAATCTCCTTGCAATTGGGTAACTTGTTGATTACTGGATACTAGTTCTCCAACATAGCTCGAGTACTAGAAGAAATCAAGGAATCGCTATTTGTCACCAACACAGTTTTTCTTGCAGTTTACAAAAGGCAACAGTTTTCCTTATCCTTAATTCATGAAAAACACAATAAGGTAGTATTCAGCTTTATAGCTAAGGTATTTATGATGGCACTTGTAGACAATAGGCTATTAGGAAAATGAAGAATATGCAGGACTTGAACAATATAATGGCAGTACAAGTAATGAAACCTTTACTAGTAATGGATGATAAACACCCATCTGCAATATGAAGTTTCTCATCACCTGAACATTATGTATAGTTTTCAAAATTATCTAAAGAACCTTTCGTAGTTAGAAGCTCCTGAATCTATAATCCATGCATCATTTTGTTTTTCTAGATTGTCATGAAATGATATATCTAACTTGGAAAAGTTGAGAAAACTGCTACAAATGAGTGGGATTGAAATTGTGACAGTAGTTTCAAAGTTTATTTATTTTTAAGTAAAAAGTATAAAAGTGTATTAAAAGGCACCAAAAGGGTACCACCCATTAACAAGATATTTACAAATCTATAATAGTATCTATGACATTTTCAAAATCTTTCCACCCGTAAATGTCATGATCCAAAACCAACAAACCAAAACAATATAACCATCTATTCCTAATTGTGGCCATCTCTTCCTTTATATCTTCAAAAGTTTTGTTATTTCTTTCTTTCCAAATCACCCAGAAAATTGTTGAAGGAATAAACTTTACAATTTTTTTTCTTTTTACACAACTCCTCCGAAGCCCATATTTCCTCCCTCAACGACCTTGCCATTATCCGCTTAATTCCTAAAGGGCTATAAACCATAGTCCAAATATCATAAACCACCGGGCACCAAAGAAGAAAAATCCCAATATTAGAGACATTTTTTATATTGAAATTTGTGTTCATTTGTCTTAGATAAGTTGGCGTGAAGTTATTTCCCTTACCTTTACAACCTCAATTAGACCTGTAATTAAGCATCCAATAACAATCTCTAGTATAATGTGGTTTGCCATAGTAGTCACGAATAGGGTGATCTTTATCAAACATTTTTTGGTTAATAGTTTTTGTTCGTTCACGGGTCATCTCAACAGCTATCCTGTCTTGTCTGTACAAGTGAGATGGATCAAAAGAGTAGGCCTGTCTTAGTCATGGTAATGGATCTCGATGAAAAACTTGAACTTGAGTTCGGCTGTATTCTACAAACATGTTCTTTCTTTGTTAATCTTTGAAATTTGGATGCATCCACTTAATATATTGCTTGAAAGTCTTAATAAAAGTCCGATTCTTGTCATAAACCACTTAATTTAGTAAAACGTTGTGCTATAATCATCTCACCTTGTCTGGCGGCATGTACTTTGTTTAGCAGCTCACATATATGTGCATCATTGCCGATATTAAATTTTGTGGGCAGCAACAAGGAGCAAATATCCACGAGAAATTTCTTGTTGCATTGAGTTGATAAGCCAAGAAATCACAAGTGAGTTTCCTGATTACCATTGGTCAGTCAGAGTGTCAACATTAACTGGTTTTGGTTTATTTCCTGTAACATATCTTTGCAGCTCCCGAGCTTAGATGAATAGTAAGCAAGACCATGACCAAGCAAGGTAATTGAGTCCATCCAGCCTTATTGGGTAGATCTCTAATACCCGATTTCTATCAATACCCAGTCTTATGAACACGAATCTCTACAATTCCCTTATTAGATTTGTGTCCTGCCATCTGTCTTTTAAAAAAACAGATTTTGGTGGCAGAGCGAATTACCTCTTTCTCTCTTTATCGCTCTGCCTGCAGGCACCTCTTCCTCATTCTGTCCACAAGTGCTGCTCCTGCAATAAGAAAAATTAACCATGTTGCGCTTGTCCATTCGCGTCTCTCTCTCTGTTTTGTATAGAAATGAGACCCAAAGTTGATGCTTTCTATCCACAAAGAAAAGTGATGCAAGCTACAGGGTGGTGAGTCAGAAGCTTGAGTTGATTGTTTCTGGTACACAAATTAATTCTCCAGACGAGGTTGATGCACAAAGCAAAGGAGAGAAAGGCTGGAGTTGATGGTTTCTGGTACGCTACTTTGTTCCACAGATTATAGATACAAGTGATGCTTCTAAACTCTAAACTCTGACACGACAGAGATGATCCATGTTTTCAGAAGTAATATATTTTATCTTTTCCTCAAACACAACCATACTAATAACAAACAGACCTGAGATGAGTCAAATCATTGTTTGTTGTTCTCTATGGCAGTGGGAAGGTAGAGATATAGTATCGTTGATCCCTTACTAGCAGCTGTTTGGTAGACAACCTTCTTCCAGTTATGCCTAAAAGTCTACAACTGGTGGAATTTAGCATGACCAGTTATTACAGCTGATATGCCCAATAGAAATCTTGACAATATGTATCAATGAAGATCCACAAAGATAAATATCATCTGGAAACAAAAATTTAATATAAGATATATACCTTCTGCTCACAAAAAGTTGACTGCAAACATCCTTAAAAACGACAGGATGGAAATCAGAGTTCCCCCAAGAAGACATACTTGAAGAACTTTTCTCCTCTTCCTCAAGCCTAGTGCAGTGAAGTGGGATAGAATAACCTCTAATATAGATTCCCCATCGAGAAAATATACCTAATAAATAATATTACGGGTTAGAAAATGAAGTGATTAAAAAACTGCATGGATCTTCCTGTTGCTTCTTAATCCATGATCAGGTGCTTTATTTCATTTAAACCAGAGACTTAAATGAAGGCAGGCAAGAAAAATCAAAAAGCAAATTCTTTTTGGTGCAAATCTTCTTGTGCATTAAAATTCAAGTCCATGTATCATTCTTCCCAACCTTTGATATAAAGTATCCAAATTGAATAATAAGTCATTCTCATTTAGACAACATCGGAACTTTTTTTTTTTTAAAATAAAAAGTATTAAGTATCTATTAGCATGATAACATAAAACCGGGGATATCACCCATTTACAAAGCATTATATGTTGGTTAGAGTATCAATGTC